CAAGGTCACATGAAGGTCATTTCAACATAACCATATAATAGACCACTTGATATACTAAAACTTTTGTATTGAACATTTTTTTCCATAAGCATTATTTTTCAAGATATTTGACCGTTGCCGAACTTTCTCCCATCACTGTATATTGTAAAATTACAATTTTTTTTCTCTACAGTTATCATTTCCATGATACAGTTCTTTTTGCTCCCTTTTTCTTGTTTCACTGAGTTTTTTTTTTTTTTTGACAACTCGGAATCCGGTCGGATATTCGGAAAATATCAGATATTCGATTCGAAAAATTGTCTTCCCGGATATCTGATATCCAGTAATTTTACGATACGACGCATCCCTAGTTTCAACGATATTCGCTTTAAAAGAAAAAAAAAATCAATTTTCTTCAAAAGAATGTTGCACTTTCTTCCTTACAAAAAAAATATCCCTTACCTTTTTCTTGAAATAAACATATTTAAAGCTCATCGAAATCGAAGGGAAACACTCCCACGAGTTTTCTTGTTAACGACGAGTTTGCAAAAAAATATGTAAAAGGAAACATTTGCGTTTGAAACTGCGTAACAACTGTAAAAGCATTCTCGGGAAAGTATCCAAATAATAACTTTGAAAGTGAGATTAAAAGTGATATAGCACACTAGTCACCAATCATGAATGTGTGAAGCTATCAATATAATCTATTATATATATATATATATCTATATATATATATATTTATATGTATATAATCTAGCTTTGCTACTTGTTACAAACTAGCAACTATTTATTAGTTATAATATATTCATATCGTTCGCGGCTTCTTAAAATTATAAAACGGTTTAGTTTGCCGTCAATATTATATTATTGCAGCCCCAACGAGTTACATAGGTATGCCGCACTACTCCGCAGTTTTTCATCATGATCGTTGTCGTCATCGTCAGTAATGCGATGCTTTCTGATCTCGAATGACTGGACGGAAGAGAGCTCGCACAAATCGCGATGTCGTTCCGTTCCACGCTATCCGCAAGTACAAAATTTCCCGAGACGTTGTACAGAATTCTCGTTAATTACATGCTCACTAGCGCGTATATAGCGCGTATTTGTCAGATAAATAATTTATGCGGTCTCGAAATTAAACAGATATTTCAAATCTTATTGATATTTTAAACATTGAGAAACACACAATCCAGCCTCATGATGTTGAGAAGGGCCGAGGTTTGGGCATTTTTTATCATACAATTTAAATTTACTAAAAAACAAGTAAAATATTCGATACCTTATACTTGCGCTTTTCATTACCGAAACACACGCTGTTGCAATCCTCCGTTGTTACAATCATTCGAAAGTACACTTTGTCGGGCTAATCGCAAAATTTGTCGGAACTATTGCACAATGCCATTCATGAAATCATGAAATACTGGCAAGACGTATAGCAATTTTGTTCTCATGGACAAATTAACGATTATTATAGATGTATGAAAGAATGATACGATTACAATTACATTTTCCGTTTTATTTTAGAAAACTAATATATACGAAATGTATGCCGCGATACGGTTTAATTGTTTTTTTTCCACCTTTCCGAATGGCAAAATATAAAGGTAGACATATTTCTCTATTACTTCACAAAAAGACTTCGTTGATGTTGGCGGTTGAAAATCGTCCAATTGTATATTACGAATTAAATCCGAGGATACATTCTATGAAATTTATCACTCGCACAAACTTCACGCAGTCTCTCCGTCCATATTTTTTTTCGTTTTTTTTTCCTTGAAATCTTTATCCATATCTAAATTCAATCCATCGACAGTCACCAAATATTTTTCCACAAAATACAAGTGGCTGCACATACACAAAAAAAGAGCTGCGCTATTCACAGTCACTTGTGCAGAATTCACTTGACTCTTTCAGCGTAAAATCCATTACTTTTTATTTTATATATCCATGGATTTTGCCGTTCTTGAGATTAATATAAAAAAAAGGTTAAAAAAATTAACCTCTTTACCAACTCCTGAAAGGTATTCTCTAGCTGAATCATTTAGGCTCTGGGAAGGCCACCTGACACTTGTAGACCTCGTCGAGTATAACTTGGCCTTGCCCTTGGCTGACAGTGACAGGAGTAGTCGCATTCACGACCACAACCTGGCCTTGTTGTGCCTGCTGTGGCTGTTGCTGCTGCTGCGACTGCTGCTGCTGATTACTCGCGTTGGCCTGTTGTGCGTTTGCTGGGTTATTTGCATTCTGGTTTCGTGCCGTCTGGCCATATTTCTCGTGGATCGCACGGTGACGCTTCAGCGCAAAACGATCGGAAAAGCCAATCTCGCATATATCGCACCTAAAAACACAAAGGAGATTTCATGTACGCGGAACAAATATGCACTTCGACAACCGGATCTTTGGGTGTTAAAGTTACCTGTGCGGCTTTTCACCGGTATGGACTTTTGCGTGGTTCTTGAGATGTGTGGCTTGATTGAAGGCGGAACCGCAGATATTACACCTATATGGCTTCTCGCCGGTGTGAATTCTTCTATGATTCCAGAGCGTTGAATGTCTGGCAAACGTCTTTTCGCAAACCTCGCATTGATAGGGTCGCTCGCCGGAATGAATTCGTTCGTGATTCTTCAAGTGTGGGCTCTGCGAAAACTGCATGCCGCAAACGTTGCACTTGAACGGTTTTTCACCGGTATGAACTCTTCCATGATTCTTTAAATAAGCAGCTATAAAGGGAAAGAAATCAAAATTTGTACTAAAAAAATAAGCTTATATAATTTTTAGTTAGTCAGTATGCGTAGAAAAGATCATACATCATTATCTTATGTTCCATTATTTAATTAATTTAATCGTTTACTTACCCTTAGCAAAGGCTAAGCCACAGACTTCACATTTGAATGGTTTGTCTCCCGAATGAAGTCTTTTATGGGACCAGAGTGAAGAATATCGAGAAAATGTACCATCACAAACGTTACAATGAAATGGTTTCTCCGCTTGATTTTGACTGTTTTGCTTGCCACCTGAAATTGAAAGCATAAACAAAGCTTTAGTTGTCCTCGAAGGGCCAGTTCTACAAAAGTGATAAGCTCGAAGTTGTTCCGCGAGGAATCTATGAATCTACGCGATATGAGTTCGTGATACTAATGTTTAAATTTTTGGTCTTATATCCAAGAAATGGAATATGAATGGACATGGAATATGAAATTACAAAATGAATGATTAAATGTAAAGATTATTGTATAAAACAATCTGATCATGCAGGTTGTTATAAAAGTTAGTGCACTAAGAAAATCTGAACGCCATAAGCAATATGAAATTTTGCGGTTTAATTATTACGCAATTTACTCTATGAAAAATGATGAAATCATCTTCAATGAGCTATATCGCGAAATAAATTGAAAGAATTATAAACAACCGAACGGAAATTTAATAAGTTTATCTTATATACAGAAAACATTAAAATTTGGCGATTTATAATTTATAAAACTGTCCCTTAGGGGAGATTTTTATTCTGTGCCATTGTTCTTAAATTTAGATGTCGACAGTTCTACTAACAAGGAAAAGAAAATAACAGCAAAATAAAATAATCACAATCACTTTGTAAGAATTGAGATAGCAAGAATATTAAATAATAGAACGAACAAAATAAGATAACAGAAATGTATATTCCACCTACAAGAACACATGCAAGCAAAAATAAAATGACGTTAAATAAAATCAATATCAAAAATCCAACGTTCAAAAATATTAATTTAAATTTATTGATAAACATTCGATGTATTTATTAGATTTTCTTTGATTATATATATATATATATAATCAAAGAATTTATAATTTCAATATATTTCTTTACAATAAAATTCAATATTCTATACAAATTATGTGTTGGCGCGTTGTTGACTCAAACATCAATAAAACTGCAAATACCAAAGTGATTACGGAAAATAAATTTGAACTGTCACCATCCAAGACAGACGCGATATTACTCAGACATACTAATCGCAAAACAGATCCCATACTCTGTGTTGACGATAATTATATCCGACTTACTTCCTATGACGATGCGGCCTGTAGCCTTGCAGCCGCCACACTTTGCGAGGGAACTGATTCCGGAATCTAGTTTTTCGTCGTGTTTACCTACCATATATCACCCGATGTACGATCATGATAGCAATGAAAAATATGAAGGGGAAAAGGATGACGAAATATCTGAATAAAATGTCGCTGATATTGGAATATAAAACGCAATCCCTTGTGAGAACGTTTATATTAACATAAAATTTGAAACATAAATTTTGAATGCTTTCAAAACGCTTTATCAGCAACATCTTTTTTCGGCTTATCAAGGGTATTAAGTGACATCCAATCAGCGACCGAAAGCTAACAAATGATGCTTACCTATAAAAATAATCCCCGTGCCGTTGCACTTATGACATTTGGTGACACTGGTAACACCCCTTCGTTTCACAGGATGATGACCAGGTTTGATAGCTACAAAAAAAATGCATATTTCGTTACAGCTAAAAATCCGTGAATAATCTTACCATCTAACATCAATTTGAACTTAATAATTGATTTTAATGATAAAAATAGCGATTTTATTGATAAAAACAGTTGGCAAAAGATGTTTTTTAAAGCATGCTTTAATGCTTCATACATGTTTCAAACAATATTATAAAAAAATGTTTAAAACATAAATTTTACCAATCCTGGATAAAAATAGCGATCATGATTTCTTATACATCGTATAAAGATTACAGTATATAATATTTTATATAAGAATCTATATAGTTTCCAATGTAAAAATCTTAAAAATTTTTAATGCTGCAAGATAATTGTACCTTTTTGCATTAATACTGAAATCAATATCACCATGAGATTGACATTGATTATAGCTGAAATTAATTGATATGGACATACTCTTTTTAACTTTAGTTGGATGATGTTCGCATGGGTCCTCACTGCCACAATCTTCACAAATTTGCACCTTTGGTTTTTGATGCATATTTGTTTTGTGACTTTTTAATTCTCCCGGTAATGCAAAACACGCTCCACAAACGTCACAAGTATACGGTCTTTCTGGTGTGGTGGCGACAGTCACTGTTGTCGGCGTTTGTACCACTATCTGCTGCGGCTGCTGCTGCAAATTGCTGGGCGTCGAGGTGTGAATCCGCTTATGATGCTGCAGCAGGCTCATGTGACCGAAGACCAGGCCACAAATCTCACACTTGAACGTTGCATTTGCGGTCGCAGCGGCAATACTCATCTGGTTTAGCAATGTATTATAACCGACAGGTTGAACATCGAAACGGTAACAACCCTTGTCATCGGTGATTGCACTGATTGTGCTCACCGCATTTGTCTGAACCTTCTGCAACATGTTGACGTTGTAATAGAAGGAGGGAGGGAACTCGGTAGTAGTCGTCTGTTGCTGCTGCTGAGACTTGTCCTCCTTCTTATCCGATGTGACGTACATCTGCTGAGTCTGCTGCTGCTGCTGCGACTGCTGACCTTGCGCAGCAGCTTGCTGCTGAATCTGCTGTGGGTCAAACATTGCTGTTTGCTGCTGTAAAAACGAATCATTTAATATGATTAGAGAGGAAGAATTTGAGTTTTTTCTCTTTCATTTATCATAAGATAATGAATGTACCTGTCTCTGGTCTCCGTAACTCGAATTGCTCTGTTCCGTCTGGGTAAAACTATTAGTTTGCTCCGTTTGAGTAAACATGGAACACTTCAATGGCTGCTCGATTGGTTGACTCTGTTGATCAGAAAGGTGTGCGTCAGGCGCTTCGATAGAAGATTCATCAATTATATGAGAAATTATGAATACCTATAAGTATCTTATTCTCTTAAACACGAGTCACAAGTTAGATACTGAATACTTGAAAATAAGACATGATCAGCAGTCGATTATTGTGTGTTCGCAAACGTACACGCTTCCTCGCTTGCCTCACGCGCGACGCATACCTGCTGTATTTGATCAGGACGGGTTGTGTTCAACCACACCACGTTGTTGCCATTTGATTCTAGGGCCATTGATGTATTGCCTTTGACCCTGCACAATCAATAGGCGGTCGTTATAAACTGTCGGCTCAAGCGAGAACGTGCGAGGTATGCGAGAAGCAACCGGCAGGAGGTCCCCGATGAACGGATGGCAACGGGGAGAACAACGACACCACAGCCGGAAGCACGGCAAAGGTGAAGAGGGACGCGTTCGAATACAGCGAATACAGGCGCGACGGACGCAGCGGGGGTAAAAAAAAGCACGATGCCAGGCCTCGTTTAGGCCGTTTGGCGCGCGTGGCAAGAGAAAGACGAAACAACAGGCGAACGTGGTCGCCTAATAAACATACTCACGTGTAATACTCCGACGGACCGCGGGGTTAATAGTCCGGCTGCCGAGTGG